AATATGTACCTTAGAGTCATGAAATAAGCACTCTAGAGTTTGGTGGTTGACGCTTTGACGGCTGTGCGTTGATATTCTCTGGACAAATAACAACGCGTCAACTGAAGGCCTATAGAGTTTTCCTTGTCTTGGAAGATAGATCAAAGGCAGTGACAAAATTTGACTTCATTACTAAATAATAAAGAGAAAGTTGAGAAATATAAGAGAAGAATTAAAAGTATATAATGATAGAAAATAAATAAGTTTGTGACCCTTTTATATTCAGGCAATACATATCAATATCAATTTGTCTATATTATAATTATTAAATATTAATTATTACTATTTATTAATATAATTAATTAATTAATTATTATTTAATTCATATAATTATCATAATATAATTGCCGATTATATTTCCACTGAAATATTAATATATATTCATTTCGTTTTCTAATATTTCATTTCCTTTTGAATACGTTCATTTCTTTTTTCCTTCATACAAAGAATAAATATTGATTGCCATATTTTTTTTCCTTCATAATATTTTCCTAATATTTTATTTGTTGGTTACTAATTTTTTGGTAGGAAAAACTGTATTATATTTCCAGTAAAATATTAATATATTCATTTAATTTTCCCTAGTATTTTATTTCTTTTTTCCTTCATAAAAAGAATAAAAACTGATTTTCATTCCTTTTTCCTTCATAATTTTTTCTTAATATTTCATTTGGTGGTTACTGATAACATATTTCCGTGTGTAATATTTATTTATTTTTTCGTTCATAAAAAGAATTAATATTTATTTTCATATAACTAAAAAATAATATAATTATAAAAATATAATTGCTGATTATGCTTCGAGTGAAATATTAATATATTCATTTCCTTTTTCCTTCATAAATAATTAATATAATAACAATAATATAATTTGCTGATTATATTTCCATTGAAATATGAATATATTCATTTCATATTTTCTTCATTCTTTTTTTTTTTTCATAATTTTTTCTTAATATTTTTTTTGGTAGTTACTAATTTTTTCGAAGGGAAAACTTGTGTTATATTTCCAGTGAATTTTTAATATTAATTTCCTTTTTCATTTGGCCTGATTCCCATACCAATTATTAACAGAATACAAATAATAGATTCTCGTGTGTAATATTTATTTATTTTTCATTTATAAAACGAATTAATATTCATTTTCATATAATTTAAAAGTAATATACATATGAAAACATAATTGCCGATTATATTTTCAGAGAAATATTAATATATTCATTTCCATGGCATAAAATTTAAATAACTTTATTCTACAAAATGTTTAAAAAATTTAAAATCAAATAATAATCATCACAACATACTATTACCATATATTATAAGGCATTGTATAATTAAATATTACATGAGATTTAAAAAGTTTACATTTAAATAATTATATATATATATATATATATATATATATATATATATATATATATATATATATATATATATATATATGCGGATCTATAAAATAGCCTCATCAGGTAAAAAATACGGATAGATTCCAACCGTAGATGCAATCCAAATCAACAACCCAAATTGAATTTTAATTATAAAAAAAAAATGCGCACTGGCTTATTTGTAATTTTGAATAAATAAGTCAGCTTGTGTTTTGTTTCAAAGTGCACATTTGTCCTTCTTCGAGTGCATCACTCTTATTACATAATATTCACATTTACTATAAATTAATTACCTAAGTGGAAAATCTTTTTGTGGAGGGCTGTGTCTGGCATACTACCCACCACTGATAATTTAATTGTTAAACGAGTGGAGGTGGATCCTATATGTGCCATGTGTGGCAAATGCGCAAGAGAATATTATGCATGCACTGATTTTATGTGATTATTCTAAGATGGTTTGGAATATTTCGGGATTACCTGTCACGAATATTCTAACAAATTTTTTCCAATCATGGTTCATAGGCGTAATGGACTCGTTGACGGAGGGGCAGGTACGGCTGGCGGTTGGGATTCTGTATTACTTGTGGCTAGCAAGGAATTCGGCGCTATGGGAAAGGAGTTTGCCACGGCCTGCAGCTACAGTGAAGAGGGCGGTGCTGGCTGAGGAAGCCTTCACCAGGCTGAGACGAGTAGCATACCAGCCGCACGTCGCGGTGATGCCGGAGACCGAACCACATGGGCTCAGGTGTTATTTCGATGCGGGTTACAGACAACACACGGGGGAAGCGACATACGGAGTTGTGCTACTCAATCACGAAGGTGTTTTTCTGGCAGCCACGGCAGGAACACTACCTGGTGCTTTTTCACCTATTATGGCAGAAGCTCTAGCATGCAAGGAGGCCCTATCATGGCTTAAAGGCCGCGATATACAGATGGTTGATCTACTCACAGATTGCATGGAGTTGCGTAACATGATAACATCAAGAGGTACCGGAACTCGATCTTATGTTGGGGTTATTGCGGACCAGTGCAGGACAACTATGTCATTATTTAATTATTGTTCTTTACATTACATTTCCAGAACTGCTAATATGCATGCTCATACACTAGCTTCGTTAGCTTTCGATCGGGATCATCCTATGTACTGGGATGTAATCCCACCTGACTCTATTGCTATGTTAGTTCATTAATATACCAAATTATTTGGCTTTTAAAATAAAAAATTACCAATTAATACATTTGCAATATTCTAATTAACAATATTACCAATGAATACATTTTAATTACTTTCCATTAAACATTTACTTTCCGAATAAGATTTATAGATTATTTGACCCAAAAAACTATAAAATATTTAATTAATTTAGTAAAAAAGTTTGGGGGGGGGGGGGGGGAGGCTGTAGGAAGATTTTGTTTATATATATATATATATATATATATATATATATATATATATATATATATATATATTGATTAATTCATGATATTTATCAAATTGTATTTTTTTAAATATAAAATTTTCTCATGTTTAGGGATTAAAAAATATTTTAAAATTATTTTTATTAGTAAGTATTTTTATTTGAAAAATATTTTTCAGCAACCCAAACACTCCCTTACTCTAACAAAAAACTGCAAAATAAAAGTCATTTCATTAAGAAATTAAAACCAATTAAAGTAAATGTAATCATGCTATATTTATTTGTAACTGTATGTTATTTTCATTTTGAAATCATTGGTTCACATCTTTGAAATATTTATTTTTTTCTTTAACTATTATAAACAAAAATTATGATATTTATCAAATTGTATTTTTAAAAAAAAAAAAAAAATAACATTTACACATGTTTTGAGAGGTTAAAAAATGTTTTAAAATTATTTTTTATTAGTATGTATTTTTATTTTAAAATATTTTCCAGCAATTCACACACCCCCTTAGCCTCCCATAAAAAACTGATAAAGAAAAGTCATTTCATTAAGAAAATTAAAACTAATTAAAGTAAATCTAATCATGTTATATTTATGTGTAATTTCATATTAATTTCATTTTGAAATCACTGGTTCACATATTTGAATTTTTTTTAATTATTATAATTTATAAACAGAAATGATATTGTACTAATTAATTTATGATATTTATCAAATTGTATTTTTTAAAAATATAACAGGTACACATGTTATGAGGGGTTAAAAAATATTTTAAAATTAATTTTTATTCGTAAGTATTTGAAAATAATAATAATTTCCAACAACTCAAACACTCCCATAGTCTGCCATAAAAAACTGATAAAGAAAAGGCATATCATTAAGGGAATTAAAACTAAATAAAGTAAATGTAATCATACTATATTTATTTGTAACTGTACATTAATTTCATTTTGAAATCATTGGTTCACATATTTGAATAATTTATTTATTTTAATTAATTAATTTATGATATTTATCAAATTGTATTTTTTAAAATAGTGTTTTACCCATGAATTTTTTTTGTTATTATGAATTTAAAATTAAAATAGAAAAAATAAAAAGATGTTAAAATGTACAATATAATAATATAGTTGGACTTTTATATATTTGGTCAAGTATCTATTTTCATAACATACAAAATTAAAATTAAAATTTTGTATGGTTAATATAATCTCTAATCATGTACATATTTAGATAAATTTATAGCAAAAATTCATATAATTAAGTTGTTAATTTTGTTGGTGAAGGTAGAGTATATGCGGCAGGTGATGGTGGCAGCATGGCAGCCGATTGCGTGTATCAGATCTCGAAAATAAAGCCCCGGCTATTCTTGTTTACTTTTCATCATGTAACTGATATACAACGGGTGCTTAATGATGGTCCATGGGCGTTTGAGAATGCAACGCTAGTTTGTGAGCAACTCGTGGAGGGGGGTTTCCCGGATGATGTTGTGCTTGATACGGTACAGATGTGGATACAGGTTCATGGCTTACCAATGGGTTATACATTTGACAAAATACTGGAACAGATTGGTAATTATCTGGGCACCTTTGTGAAGGGTGATGATAGATTTGCGGGTGCTCCTTGGAAGGTTTTTTATCGAATCCGTGTCGCTATCCCGGTAGAGAAACCGTTGAAACGAAGGCTGAATTTTGTTAAAAGGGATAAGTCTACGTGTTGGGTGACTTTCAAATATGAACGCCTGCACAACTTTTGCTTTTATTGCGGAAAGCTCGGTCACTTGTATAAGTTTTGCCGAATGGCGCGGGATTCGGTATTACCGGTAGAAGATTATCCTTACTCTGCAGAGCTACGGGCGGGGATTAAAAGAGGGCCGAGGGCAGTTGGTGAACACTGGTTGTTACCGACAGAGGAGCAGCAGCCTCGGACTGATGAGGCTGCCGCGGGGCAGTCCGGGGTGGCCGAATTGGCACTGCCGAACAACAGTAGGGAGGGGGCGGATTATGTGATGGAGGCGGTTGCAAAAAGACACAGGGAGGGGTGTGTGGAAGAGGAGGAGCGACGGGTAGGTAACAATGGGGATGTGACAATGACGGATCTCTCAAAAAACTTGTTTATGGCGGGAGCTGGATCGCAGCCCCGCCCGTCCTCATGAGTACCCTCAGTTGGAACTGTCGTGGCTTGGGCAATCCACGAACAGTTCAACAAATAGTGGACTGGGTGTCTGGTAAGAAGCCAGAATTTGTATTTCTAATGGAGACGAAGGTGGGACGAAGTCATGCAGAGAGACTTCGTGTTAAGCTTGGTTATGAGGGGTTATTCTATGTAGACAATACGGGATTGAGTGGAGGTTTGGCTTTGCTATGGCGCAAGAATAATATGGCAAGGTTACTAAGTTACTCAAAGAATTATGTAGATGTTGAAGTTACTATGCCAGGGATCGCTCCGTGGCGAATGACAGGATATTATGGCTTTCTTGAGCGTAATAGACGGCTTGAGGCCTGGAACTTATTACGAACCTTGGCGAACCAGTCACAACTGCCATGGGTCGTGATAGGTGATATCAACGATTTGCTGTTCCAAAGTGAGAAGCGAGGGGGGAATCCCCACCCAAATGGTCTCCTACGCAGTTTTGGGGAAACCATAGATGATTGTAGCCTGGCGCAGATGCCCATGCAGGGTTATCTGTTCACGTGGAAGAAAGGGGAGGGGACAAAGGACTGGTTGGAAGAGAGGCTGGACAAGGTGCTAGTTACTGAAGCCTGGCGGAGTTTGAATGCACAGGCCAGTGTGTTAAACTTGTTGACACGCAGGTCTGATCACTCAGCGTTGTTTCTGGGGATTCGAGATGATATAAGGGGTAGGGGACGGAGAACAAATAGTTTCAGGTTTGAAATATCTTGGCTACATGATGAGGGGTGTAGGGGAGTGGTGGAGGAAGCATGGGAGGAGGGGAGAAATATGGGAATGCAGGACTGTCTACAGTTATGTGGGAAAAGACTCGCTAGCTGGGGAGGGGACCGGTTCCATAAGTTTGGGAAACAAATTAAGCAGCTGCGGAAAGAACAAGATTATTTGAGAGGAAGGCGGGATTCGGCTTCATTGGTCGAGTTTCGTCGTCTGGAGGCCGAATTGTGTAGACTGGAGGCAATGGATGACTCATTCTGGAGGCAAAGGGCGAAGCAGCACTGGCTGCAAGGGGCGGATGCGAACACCAGATTCTTTCACAGGTATGCTTCTGACCGTAGAAAGAAAAATACTTTGAATAGAATAAAAACTGTTGATTGGGTGTGGGTTGAAGGAAATGCAATGAATCAAACTGTTATGGACTATTTTAATTGGGTTTTCAGTTCGGGTAACCCCCCCGGATGAGGACCACACGTTATTTGCCATGATGCAGCCACGAGTAACACAGGCTCAGAATGAGGTCCTTCTTTCCCCCTTTACTTGTGAGGAAGTAAAAAATTCTTTATTTGCTATGTTTCCCAATAAGTCCCCAGGGCCGGATGGAATGAATCCGGGTTTTTACCAACACTTCTGGGATGTGGTAGGAGGTGATGTTTCTGCCTTTATTATTAACTGTTTGAATACTAGTTCGTTTCCGGAAGGTTTGAATAGTACAAATGTCGTTCATTATTAACTGTTTGAATACTAGTTCGTTTCCGGAAGGTTTGAATAGTACAAATGTCGTTCTTATCCCAAAGAAGAAACTGCCAGAATATGTAACTGATCTAAGGCCAATTGTGTTAAGTAATGTGGTTTACAGGGTAATGGCGAAAATGATAGCGAATAGAATGAAGCCTTTAATGGAGGGACTAATTTCTGATTCCCAAAGTGCCTTCATACCAGATAGCTAGGCTGATAGCGGATAATATACTAATAGCTGCGGAAGTAGGCCATTACTTGAATAGAAAGCAATGTGGTAAGGTGGGATGGGGGGCCCTAAAGCTGGATACGGCTAAGGCTTATGATAGGATGAAATGGGTGTTTTTGCGAAAGATGTTAACAGCTATGGGGTTTAATGTCAGGTGGATTGATTTGATAATGTATTGTGTCACTACGGTCTCATATGAATTCTTGATTAATGGTCTCCCGTCAGGCCAAGTTATTCCTACCAGAGGTTTGAGATAAGGGGATCCACTTTCCCCATATTTGTTTATAATATGTGCAGAAGGATTGTCTATGCTTTTGCAGCAGGCGTAGCAACAGGGCAAGATACATGGCTGCAGAGTAGCCAGGGGAGCACCGCCTATATCTCACTTATTTTTTGCAGATGATAGTTTGATTTTTTTTAAAGCAAATATTGATGAGGCTGGGGAGGTGAAGCGGTGTCGGATGGAATATGAAGCATTATCTGGCCATGCAGTAAATTATCACAAGTCCAGTGTGTGTTTCAGTAAGAATACTACGGAGGAGTGTAGGGACCAGGTGGCGCAGCTTTTAGGTGTCCCTAATCAAATAGCTGCACTCAACATGACTTAGCTCCTGCAATATAATGCCCACATTTCAGATGACAAATAATAATAGCAAGAATTAAGCATACCACTGAAGATGTTTGGATTGTGTGACACAATAAGAGTCTGCAAATTCTGACTACGAGACAGCAAATGCAAGAGATACTCAGGTGGAAGAGATGAATCGCCCAGACATACTAACATATCTCAGAAGAGAGATATAATTTAAGTATAAGGGGGAGGTGATTGGATGTCTAAGTTCCAAAACACATAACAATAAGCCCCACCACCTTAGGTCATCATCTGGCTCATCAATAACTTCTGATGCATAACTTGTATGCTGCAAATACAAAATGGAGCGAGGTACATACATATTATCCAACTCTTGGAGACCATCACGTCGTAGGATCTTCTTTGGCAAGAAATTTAACCAACGACATCCTTCTTCTTGCAGTTCGCCGCAGGGATGTTCTTCATTTTCAACATTCAGGAGCTTCTCTTTTATTGCCTCCCTCACACAAAACTCATGTACCATGTCGTGCATCCTACACGTCTTCATTTTTCCATTGGAGCGCCACTCCTGAATTTGGATTAAGCATCTATCACCAAGATCTTGTAGATACCCATGAGCCACCTCTTCCAACTTCTCATTACTGTTTATTAACTCCACAAATCCCTCAGCAATCCATAACCTTATAAGTCTTTTAACTATAACTGCTTCATCTTCTGGGATGGTGCTCAAATATAAAAAGCAAGCTTTCAAATGCAGTGGCAAGTAGTTGTAACTCAGGCTGAGTATTCTTGAACACTGCTCACTAAGATCTGTAGTTACAACTAATGAATTTGTTTGCTTTTCAATATTCTGCCATTCCTCAACAGTTTTTTCGAGTTTTGAAAAAACTCCTGCAACTACAACAACTGCCAGTGGTAACCCATGGCATTTATCAACAACGTGCCTCCCGATTGTTTCAAGTTCAAATGGCAAACTTTGTATTCCAGGAAAGCTTTTGCAAAATAAATTTCAACTTTCTTCTAGATTTAGAAAACCCAAAGTATGAAGACGGTTACCTGATGAATCAGCAGAATCAACAACCTCTTTGTGTCGAGTGGTCAACAATATTCGACTCCCACAGTTGTCATCAGGAAAAAACAACTGGATACCTTCCCAAGAACTGGTGCTCCATATGTCATCCAAAACAATTAGATACCTCTTGCCCCTCAAACATTTCTTTAGATTTTCAGCCAGTTCACCATCTTCTGTTACTTCATCAATCTTTGCTGCTTCATTGTTAAGGAGGTTAAGTAACATCCTTCTCACATCATGTTTTTGGGAAACAACAGTCCACACAAGAATGTCAAAATGTGAAGAAACCAATGGATCTTCATACAACATTCTTGCTAAAGTTGTCTTCCCAATACCTCCCATCCCGACAATGGAAATTACTTCTCGTCCTGATGAGCACTTGCGGATGAGTTGGTCCATTATCTCTTCAAATTTCTGGCCACGTCCTTCCATAATTTCTGAAGCTGCGGCGTGTTCAGTAGACCCACCACACGAAGCCTGAGGCTCTGCACTTGGAAAATCTTGGACAGGGCTGTTCAGTATCTTCCTAATCTCGACAATCAAATCTTCAGTGTCCCTTATTGCTTGTTTTAAGGTCGAGGGGAGTCTTCTCTGAGCTTTTTGTCGTTGGGGCTCACTGTATGTTTCTCCGTGTATAGTTTCAAGTTCCTTTTCGATTCTGTCTTCTATTTGGAACACTAAATCTTTGATTTTAGGTTCCAATTTTTTTACCGCAACGTTATCTTTGGACTTGTCCAAGAATTCTTCCAAAAAGCCAAGACTTTGGTAGAGATGTTTCACCTGTTCTTCATCCTCAACTATCGCACTTCGTCCCGGGTTCAGAAAGTCCAACTCTATTGTTCGCATCAGCGAAGATAAAGCAACACAGGCCATCTCCCTCAGACGCTCTTTCTTTTAATTGTATGTATGAAAATTTAGAGCAATAGATATGGATATTGCAACTTGAATTTCTTCATTTTATTATGTGAATTGTGTTGTCAATTTGTCATTATTAATCAACTATTCCTGCTATTTAAATACGTGGATAATAATGGCAACACACAGTTCACATAAATTTTCATACATACAATTCAAATGAAGAGTTGATTATTCCTGTGTGTTGCCATTATTGTCCACGTATTTAAATAGCAGGAATAGTTGATTAATAATGACAACAAAATTCACATAATAACTGAAGAAATTCAATACCAAACAGTCAAAATAGAATTTGCATTCAAATATTTCTAACTACTCCTAGGCCATAGCCATCGACTTGGAGACCTATACATATAGATGAGTGCTGGTGCGGGGATGACTTCCTCTGCGTGTGTGCAGTTGACACACCTCAAGCATTAAAATGACAGATCTTAAATACACAAATTACGCATCTTCACACAAACAAATTAAAGCACCTTAAGAATATAAATCACGCGCACCTAAAGCTTTAGGACGACGCACCTTAAATACACAAATCACGCACCTTAAGAACATAAACCACGCACCTTATTAAGGTTTTAAAATAGTGCACCTTAATTTCAACAAGGAAAATACTTGGTGTACTCCATTTTAAACTCTCAACTTGTACTCCCTCTCACATGCTCTTGATGTAGACATTTTTCTGTGGACCCACATGATAGAAAATAACCAATCCTGGTTTGCCACCTCAAGGAGTATAAATGAGGGAGTAGAATTTTGGGAGTCTATGTAGTAGAAATCTTTCAACAACTTACACACCTTAAGCATACAAATCACGCACTTTAAGAAGGAAACCACGCACCTTAAGCACACAAACCACGCACCTTAAGAAAGAAAACTACGCACCTAAGCAATCGTACAATCGCACATGAGAATGTCAACCGCACAGGAACCCATTTATATAGGCGGTCAAAACGTCGAAAAAGTAGTGCTTCTAGGGGTGAAGGACGATGGCATTAGGGTTTTGTGTAGTGTCTCTAGGTTTGGGGGTTACGTTGGTGAGTGAGTATATTTTCGAGAGTGGGTGCGCCGGTGGGTTTGGGTTTTGCGGATTCCGGCGAGGGTGGCGGCGTGGGTGGTGTCCGGGTGCTGCTTATTCTCTTATTCTTTTTTTTTTTTTTTTTTTTTTTTTTTTTGTTTTTTAATAAACAGATTTTTTTAATGAGTGGGGGAGAGGATGTGTGTGTTTTCTAGGGGGTGGGTCTGAGGCGCTAGCGGTGGTCAACGGTTGGGTGCGCTGGTGGTTTGGGTTTTGCGGATTCCGGCGAAGGTGGCGTTGAGGCAGTAATTGAGTAGACTTTATTGAGACGGGTACTTGAGTTCAAGAGTGGCATTTATTTCTTAAACTGCTAGGCACAATTCAAATGCAGAAGGGATGAAATTATTGTAACAATAATTGTTCACCAAACCATATGGTTATATTATAGTTAAGATTTATTTATTTATTTATTTATTTATTACATGGTGTATAAAAATTTAAATTAACCTTAATTCATTTCATCTCTCTTGCCCCATCCAATCCATCCAAAAACTCACAAATAAACTTCAATTGAGATTATCCTAATGAGGTCAATCTTAAAAATTTAGTACATATGTTGATCCCGGTAGAGTTATAGCGAGAGTCTAGAGGGTGGGGGGGGGGGGGGGTGAATAGACTCTTTTCGTATTTTACCGAATAACAACCTTTCGGTGTTATGGCACAGCGGAAATGTTGAATTCGTTTTACTTGCTTTGCACGGTTTGACGTTATTTAGGAAGCTTTCGGTTTGGGCGCGAAAGATAGTATGATGCAGAAAGTAAATAGAGTGAGTAAAGAGATAAGGAGACGAGAATTTTTATAGTGGTTCGGCCAACTTTGCCTACTCCACTCTTCTTCCACAACTTATGGAAGGTTTGCACTATAACTCGTTAGTACAAATACACAAGAGGCTTCCTTGATCACTAAGCTGGACAGCTTCCTGCAGGTTTTTCAACTCCACGAGTTTACTCCGCCTCTATCAACTTCTTCTTCAGAGTTGAGGTTGGTAGAAATTGAATTCTGATTTCTCCAACGTGGTGAAGTCTTGACTGATGAGGGATGGTTGCGTCGTACAAGTTGCAAGACTTCTGTAAGGTGTAAGATGAGGATCAATGGACTTCTTCAAGTATCTTTACACCTTAACACTGGTTCGCAAAAGCTAGATAAGGACTGAGAATGTTTGAGAGCTTTTGCTTAATAGTTAGATGGAGTGAAAAGAACCAGCACCTTCTTAGTTGATGAAGGTGGGTTTATATAAGTGAGGAAAATTTCATCCGTTGGAGGGAGATGAAATTTTCAAACCTATTATCCAGTAGGTAATGACCTGGGAGCTTCCCGCATTAAATGCTCCATTAATGAGGTTTGTACCTTGTAGCCGTTTTGATGGTATTGATAGCCTTGGGGTTTTGTCCTTTAGCTTTAGAATAGTACAGCTTCATTTAATGCTCCTTGGTATGCGTGTCCCATATGTTGAGGTCCTTTTTGTTCCTAGGATGTTGTCAAGTCAGACAGTGAAGACATTCTTCTTGCTATTGAGAAAGAAGAATGTCTTGAAGGGTTTTCATAAATAAGACTGTCTCTTCGTGGTAGATGACAACTCCTGATTAACTTTCGTTGTAGACGCTTCATGCTTCATGCCTTGAACCTTCTTTCGTCTTGATAGCCCTAACATCTAAGCATAACTCGTTTTCGTGTGTTTGACTAGCTTAACACGAATTACAGTGTGAGTTATTGCAACTCTCGTTTAACATGAAAGCAGCGATTAAAAATACCTAAGGTTAGGGGTCTACATTCTAGGTTACATTGGTATCATCAAAATTCTAATACAAGTGTTCCTAACAATTTCCCCCTTTTTGGTGATGCCAAAACCTATACTCTTCTTATAAGGCTGATAAAAGTCCTATAAATGATTCTTTATTTCAAAACAGCCATTACCGAGAGTTTACAAGTCATTTCTAGATAAATATCAATAACAAATAAGACACTGACAAGTAACTCAGACAAGTAACACGAGATGTGTAACAACGAGAGCTTCATATAAAGATAGAGAAAAATTACAAAAAATTTAAGATAGACAGAAAGTAAATTTACGCCTTGCTGGTAGCTGAATATCCTAGAAAAATTCCTTCATCTGCACGCTCATCAAAAGCTTTTAGATGCAATTTATCATTAATATGAATAAAGCATTTGCATCCAAAAATATGAAAATAACCAATATTTGGTTTTCTCCCTTTATATAGCTCGTATGGCGTCTTCTTGTACTGCTTATGGATCATGCTTCGATTTTGCGTGTAACAAGCAGTGTTGATAGCTTCCGCCCAATATCGTTTCGGGAGACCGGCAGCACTAATCATCACTCGTGCGGCTTCTTTGAGCGTCCGGTTTCTTCTTTCGGCAACACCGTTTTGTTGCGGTGTTCTTGCGGCAGATAATTGATGAGAAATTCCATGTGAATTGCAAAAAGCTTGTATAACTCCATTCACGAACTCGGTTCCGCGATCCGTTCGTATTTTTGATATTTGCAATTCTTTCTCATTTTGTAGTTGCTTCAACAGCTTCGGTAGAACTTGCTCAACTTCATTTTTCTTCTTGAGAAACACGGTCCAAGTGTACCTGGAAAAATCATCAACAACAACAAGAGTATATTTCTTACCACTTACACTTATTGGATCAACCGGTCCAAATAAGTCCATATGCAGTAAGCTTAGCGGTCTTGACGTTGACTCGTGTGTCTTTGATTTGAATGATGATTTGATTTGCTTTCCGCGTTGGCATGCATCACACACTTGGTCCTTCTTGAAGATAATATCTGGCAAGCCTTCTACTAGATTCTTCTTTGCAAGTTGATTGATAGTCTTGAAGTTTAAGTGGTTGAGCTTTCTGTGCCATTCCCAATTAGCTTCATTCGAATTTCTGGCCATTAAGCACACTGAATCTTTGCTTGTGCTCCAATCCACAATATACATATTCTTTCGCCGTTTTCCAGATAAAATAATCTCATTTGTGAGCTCATTTTTTTATTAGGCAATTATCTTTAGAAAATTCTACAAGATAGCCTTTATCACAAAATTGACTAGTGCTCAACAAATTAAATTTTAATCCTTCAACGAAAGAAACATCTTCAATCTTCAGACCATTTTTCTTGATCGTGCCAACTCCTTTTGTAATTCCATAATTTGGATTTCCTCCGAATATAACTTTTGGTCCATCGATTTCTTTGAAATTCACTAGATATGATTTATTTCTAGTCATGTGGCGTGAGCAACCACTATCGATGTACCAAACATCCTGCAAAAAAGATTAATTAACTTTAGGTACCCATACTTGCTTGGGTCCTTTACTGTTAGTGATTTTTGGTAACCAAACCCACCTTGATCTTATTGAATTAAGATGAGGCGATTTGTAACCATTAGAGACACGATAATCATAACTCACATTAGAAAATATTTTTGGCGCCGGGTTTTGAAAATTATTTTTATATTTTGGCACCTGAGAAGAGAATGGTTGCTTTGGTCTATAAAAAGTATTACATCTATTGCACAACCAATCTTTTTGAGTGGGATGAAATTTCCCAACTTTATTTCTAGAAAAGCTTCCCTCTTTTCTATGAAATCTTTTTGCACTTGACTCTTTGGCATATCTTTGCTTGAAGAATTTTTGTTGCTTTGCCGTAGTATAAACTTGTTTCGGCCTTTCAACATTCAACTTTGCGTTTGATTGATAGCCAAGTCCTTGTCTCATCGTGCTATTCTGACTTTTAACAAATTTTACCACTTGAACTTTATTATTTAAAGTAGTAGTAGAATTAGTCAGATTTTGAGGGGTTTGAGAACATGTGGAGTCATAACCAATTCCGGTTCTATCTCCTGATGGCTTTTGCATGCTCACCATTTTATCTATA